CTTAAAAAACACCAAGATCACTTAGTGTGTATTTACTTTATATACGATATATTCTTACAGTTTCAGGCTACTGAGAGCCAGCTTTCCAGTGACTGAGACACACCAATGTCTTGATTGTTCTGGGTTCGATACCGATCCTGTGCTTTTAGGGCTGACATTTCCCTTTGTCCAACGAAAACATCCAAGTGTTTACTTAAACCCGTCATATCAAACCTATCAAATATATTTCCAACGTTATTTGTAACGATAAAATACATTTCTCCTACGTTTCCCTATTCTGTAGAAATACCATATTGTTGAATTCAAAACAGTGCAAATCAGCAAATCTAAACTTGCTTCGAGAAATCTAATGTATTTTCAAACGTCCAGATTTATTAAAGGCACTCAAACCAAAACGCCTTTCTTTGGGCGATCGAAAGTGAAAGTAAATATGGACCGAGTCGTGGGGTTTTTCCCTACTTCCGTTCCAAAACAATGTATTGCAAGGCAAACAGGCTTTAATACTTTCACGTTCGGTCGCCCTGTCTGAAAGGTAGAGGAAACGAGTGGTGTCCAATTTATTCAAGAATGGAAGAAATAGTATATGGCGCTAAAGGGAAATCAAAAGCCAAAAACAAACGATCCAGACAACTCGATGTTGGAGACAACTTAGAGTATTTGAGAACGGAGTTAGACAGCCTAACTTCTCTCCTTCCTCTCGACGAGTCTGAAGAACCTGAAGAAAATTTGAGAGCTGAGTTAGACCGCCTTCTAGAACGCGCTTCTCTCCTTCCCCGCCAGCGGCCTCAAGAGCCTAAAGAGCTTGAAGAACCCCAAGAAGCTGAAGACCTTGAAGAGGCTGCAGAGCACGAACAGCCAAAAGAGCTCGAAGAGGCTGAAGAACTCGAACAACCAAAAGAACACGAAGAGGCTGAAGAACACGAACAGCCAAAAGAGCACGAAGAGGCTGAAGANTGACACTGATATTTTTTCAAGGGAGTGGTAGAGTTTGATTGTTCTTTTGTGATACTTTTTCGAGCTTGTTCAGGTTACTGGGATATGTCTTCTTCCATAGCTAGCCCATGGCTTTACGTATAAGTTTAAATTGTATTAATAGAAGTTATGGCTGTGAAATTGTACACTGGAGTTTAATAATAGCTACCACCTGATAAATATAGGGACTATTTCAGACAGCAAAATTAGTATTCATAGTTCTTTTAAAAGTGCAATTCCTTTTATCTTTCGATCGATTTATAAACAAATTTAAAAACATATGATGAGCTCCTACATTAAACGGATCACAAACCTTCCGTAAAGGGAGCACATAACAATATTCTCTTACACGTAAAGCTTGAGGTCCTTGAGAGGTTTCATGTTTCTTAGGCAACACGTTCCAGTAATCTTGGCTGATGCACGTTTGCTTAGGCGTCTAATACAAAATCCGTGGGGCCTGTGTCATGATCACAGCAACCCAGTTGTGCCTTGGCCGGAACTAAGTTTAGCCGGCCTTGGCCGCCATATTGAGTCCTTACCTGTAATCCCAGGTCACCTTGCGAGATGGAGAACACTACATAACGGAGAACAATACATAACCATGACGTAGACAGAGGGGTTTTCCCCGCGTTGCTTTGCTAATCAAACCAAATTTATTTTTAACGTTGATTTAGTCTTTGATGATTTGCAAAACTGTAACATTAACACCCTTAGTCTTTTATTTGAGAAACTGTAACATTAACACATTTTCCTTTCCCAAGAAGCACTATTTGTTCGAACCCAAACAGTGAAAACGGGAAAATCTAATCTTGCTTCAAGAAGTAAATAATTTATTCCCAAAAATGCTCTCAACGCGTGATCGAAAGTGAAAGGTCAACGTGCCAAAGCCTATTTGTGCCAAGTCATCAAGCACAG